CTCTACACTCTACACACGGCTTACAGGGGAACCACAAATAGTAGTTCCTCCTCCTAGTTCTGAAATTGGACGGAACTCAAAGGCCACAGCGCAGCATAACTTGACCTTGAAGTACTCAGTCAGCATTGCTGAATTTAGGTTCGGTTTGGGGCCTACATACGGTTGATGGACAAAATCCTGCATGACCTTATATACCTAAACCATGGGATTTATGGTACTATACTATACTTGGGTCATGCAGAATTTTGTCCATCAGCAGTTTGGCTTGGGTCGTAGGTTTCTTATCAGAAGCCCTTGAAGCTGAAGAGCAGAGCCCTTGAAACTGAAGAGCAGAAAAAAAGAAAAAAAAAGTTTTTTTTTTTTTTTCTTTCTTTTTCTTTTTTTTCTTGAAACTGAAGAGCAGAGCCAGCTGTCCAGGCACCATTCCACCTGCTGCCGTCTACCCGTCCGGTTGTCGAGCGTTGCGGCCCTCAGAGTCTCAGAGAGCCGGCTCTGCTGGTTTAGGGTTTAGGGGTGTAGGGTTTAGGGTTTAGGGTTTAGGGTTTAGGGTTTAGGGTTTAGGGTTTAGGGTTTAGGGTTTAGGGTTTAGGGTTTAGGGTTTAGGGAGCCGATGGGTTCTGTGCCTTAACACATGGGTAGTTCTCTAAATCAGGGTCCCTTTTAGGGGTCCCTTTTTGTAAGGGTGCCGTACTAAATTGGGGACCTCCAAAGGGACCGTAGTTTAAAGAAGTACCCACACGCGTTGAGGGTTTTTTGTGGTTTGTTTGTCATTCACGGGTCTCAATGGCAGCTGAACCCACACCCTAAACCGTAAAGCCTACATGCTGTTAGGGGCTTTAATAATCAGAATTGGGTTTTGGTGGTTCCGGATTATAAATAGAGTAGAATATATACCCCAAACCCTATACTAATTACTAAGGCCCCTTAGTATAGTATACCCCAAACCTTATTCTAGTTACTAAGGCCCCTGCAGGCCCTGCAGAACACCTCGAGAACCCTAAACCTTTAAACCCTAAACCCTACGCCCTAAACCCTAAACCCTAAACCTAAACCCTAAACCCTAAACCCTAAACCCCCTCAAATCTTGAAGCGCGGAAGTAAGCGACCCCTTGGCTCCTTTCACCCGCGCAAGGCCGTCAGGATTTGAGCTTCAGGGGGTAACAAGTTGACTTATACGGTTAAGGGTTTAGGGTTTAGGCTTTAGGGTTTAGGGTTTAGGGTTGGTCATCTAAGGTCTGTGAGAGAGAAGCCCTGAAATTGGAAAAAATCGGAGTATGAGATTCCCTTAAAGTCCCGCTAGTTATCATAGCTATAGACCGTGACGATACCATCGTGAGCCCTCTCAGGGTTCAAGCGAGCATCCGCGACCCCTTCATTGTGCTGCGTTGTCAGGCCGATGCTGTTGCTGCTTGTAAGGTGCTTGTTGTTCGGATTTGTCGGTTGACTTTAGGGGTTTAGGGGGTTTAGAGGTTTTGGGGTTTGGGGGTTTAGGGTTTAGGGTTTAGGGTTTTAGGGTCCTGCTGTGAGGGTTGTATGGGGTCCTGTAAACGTTCTTTCGGCGTTCAGGTTTACTTGAAGGATCGCTTGACCTAGTAAGAAAGGGTCAGAAGTCTGTCGAGTACAGTCCTATCGGCTAATAACACCAACAAGGCACTTATAACCTCAATTGCCAAATGCCTCTTCGATATCCTACTCGGAGCTTCAACCGCAAGCCATCAGAAAGGCTTGCTCTCGTCCCTGCTAAACCCTAAACCCTAAACCCTAAACCCTAACCCTAAACCCTAAACCCTCAACCCTAAACCCGAAACCCTAAACCCAAAATTCTGCGATCCGGCATCCTGTACCCTTTCAACTCTGACCCAGGCCTTTGCTTGCCTGAGTTTATGCATGCCTCACTGGGGAGGGGATTAAGAGGTGGGGAATGAGGAAGTCCGAATAGGAACCTCTGACCGCTTCGGCCGGGGGCCGAGGCGACCCTAAGCCCGAAATTATTAAGACTTGTAAACCCTAAACCGCAAAAATCCTGAGCCCCTGAACCCTTTACACTAAACCCAACTCCTAAAGCCTCAAAAAACCCCTAAACCTTAAACCCTAAACCCATGAAGCCCTAAACCTTAAACCCTAAACCCATGAAGCCCTAAACCCAAAACCCAAAACCCATGAAGCCCTCAACCCTAAAGCCTAAGCCCTAGCCTTTGGAAGCCTCTCAAACACCCCGAAGGATGGCTCTCTGAAGTTGCTTTCGGTGGCAGAGGGCGGGACGCCAAGAGCCCTGGGCTTTGGGCTTTAGGAGCTGGGGCTTAGGGGTTTGGGTTTTTAGGATTTAGGGTTTGAGGTTTAGGATTTAGGGTCTAAGGTTTAGGGTTCAGCTTTTGGGATTTAGGGTTTAGGGTGTAGGGGCCTGAATAATTAGCAATACTATTTTGGGGGTTCTGTACTATAATTCTAGTATAATGGGCCTCGAAGCGCGATTCTAATTATTAAGGCCCTTATATCAGGGGTTTAGGGTTTAGGATTTACGGTTTAGGGTGTAGGGTCTGGGGTTTAGGGTTTAGGGTCTAGGGCTTAGGGTCAAGGGCAATGGGCTCAGGGCTGTTTCATGTTTCGGGCTTTAGGGCACGAGGGCTGGAAGGGGGGTTACATTCGCGGCTTGAAGGCTTTGAGGCTTCTGTGCTCCAGGGCATTACGATTGAAACCCAAAGCCAGCAAGCCCTGAGTCCTGAAACGAAGCAATTAGCGCCAGGCTTCGCCGCTTCGATTGATACTTCGAGGCGTTGTATATTATTGCACTACAAAAAGAAGGCGCTGGGGACTCCATCAGTCAATATTACACAGAACGTTACGTCACTTACTTGTAGTATGGTCTATAACAACTCGCTCCTGAGCCCTGCCAGGACCGAGGCACCCAACCCTGAACCCTAAATGCTAAACTTAAGGCCGAGTCCCACTTAGGGTTTAGGGGTACCCAAAGATCAGCCCTAAGCCAAACTCCTAAGCCCTGTTTAGGGGGGTGTCCAACAGTCCTAAGCATGGACCCCCTAAGCCGTAAACCCCAAGCCCTAAACCCCAAACCCTAAGCCCTACACCCTGAACCCTAAGCCTTAAACCCCAAGCCCCAAACCCCAAACCCAAAGCCCTACACCCTGAACCCTAAGCCTTAACCCAAAAGCCCCAAACCCCAAACCCCAAACCCCAAACCCCAAACCCTAAACCCTAAACCCTAAACCCTAAACCCTAAACCCTAAACCCTAAACCCCAAGTGCGAGTCTGGAGACATGGGAATGCGGTCTGGGGAGGTCCCGTCTTGCGCGACCACACCGCCAGGCTACCAAAGGCCTTTCGGGCTATCTGTGAACTGGGAGGGGACGGGGTTCGGTTTAAGGGTTTTAGGGTTTAGGGTTTAGGGTTTAGGGTGTTGGGTCTAGGGTTTTTGGCTTATGGTTTAGGGTTTAGGCTTTGAGATGCCGAAGGAAAGTACGGTTGCCGAGATGTTCGATCAATCCTGAAGCTTCCGCAACCTCCACCCATTTCTAGCATCCAAACTGCAAGGGAAAGCCATGCTAGAACGACTTCTCTGTGATGATCTTATTAAACGGGGGCTCCAAGATCTGCTGTTAGGGAGAGGGCTTCGTGTTTCCGGGTCTTGCATAACCCTAGCCCTAGAGCTTAGAAAACCGGCGTCAGGCCCCTTACAGAACTCCTCGAAGCCTTCTAAAGCTGTAGAGCCCTAAATCGGCTACTGGGCTTCCCTCGGGTTTAGGGTTTAGTAGGCTTTAGGGTTTACTAGGTGGCACTTTGGGAAACTTTACAATATCCCTTATTCATAAAGACCTTTCAGGGCCGCAGGACGACAACCCTGGGGCTCATGGTTTAGTACCCTAAACCCTAAACCCTAAACCCTAAACTATAGGGACCTTGAGCCTCTCAGGATCTTGGTGCCGCCACTTGGGCCGCTCTTAGCGGCTCAGAGTCTGTGCGGCTGGCGGTGCTCACACCACAGCGGCGAGGTTGGGTGCATGGCGTATGTAGGGCTTTAGGGTTTAGGAGCTTGAGGTTTAGGGTTTAGGGGGTTTCTGTAGTTACCTGCAGTTACCGAGAAGGTCTATAAACCTAGAAGCCCTATATACCCCAAACTCCCTACCTGTAGTTTCCTTTTACCGTGCAGGAAACTGAAGTTCCGGTAGTCGTTGAGGTGCGGTATCGCGGTTCCGGTTCGGTTCCCAGCCCTTCTGCCAACACACTAAGCTGTAACCCGGCGTGGATGATTCCGGGGTTCAGCAGCTACTTGGAGGTTCATGGGTAGTTATACATAGGGTTATAAGTAGGGTAACTATAAGTATAAACCATATTAGGGGACGTATGGGGGTTCTCTCGAAAATAGAGGACCCTAATCTAGTACCCCAAATAGTAGGATCCTTATTATAAGGACCCCCAAATAAGGTACCCCTTATTTTCGGAAACTCCCGTATAACCCCACTTATAACTACCCATGAACCTCCAAGTAGAAGGGCGAAAGCCAGAGTCGGAGTGCTTTCGGAACGGGACATCTTCAGGTTCACCACGCAAAGTGCTTCTTGCTTTCCTTGTAATTCGGGATTTTCAGGCAGAGGGTTGAGACATTGGCACTCCAGGAATAGAAGGACCGCGCTCTTAGGTTGCTTAGTGGGTCTGGGTGTTCGTTGATGTGAAGTCATAGGACTATCGTTTCGGAACCCTAAACCCTAAACCCTAAACCGTGCGAACCTGTTAACTTGACCTGCGCCTAATTTTCATCCTGTCGGTATCAGCCTCGGAGTTCTGTGCTTTGCAGCTCGGTCAGGCTCGATGCCAGCACGGTTTTGCCTTGAAGCCTGCAATTCTCTCTCGCCTTGTTGTCACTGCAGTCTAACATAAGAAACCCTAAACCCTAAACCCTAGACCCATTCATGAGCTTCTGAGAATGCAGCCGACCCAAAACCTTATTTACCCGGACGGCAGCAACACATCGGTAAACTGTGAGCATGAGCGACGAAGAGCAGCTGTCAGCAGCTTCGGAAAGAAGAAGCCGTTGGCACGTTGCTTTGCTTGCAAACAGCGAGTACCATGATCAAAGCAAGAACTTGCCGGGCGTGGTGGACGATGCAGCGAGACTGGAATCCTGCGAGTTTTACCAAGCAGCTCAATCCAGGCGACGATGGGACAACCTGACTTTCGAGGAAACGAGAGAGGAATTCCAGCAGTGGTTTGAAGACTGGCAAGATGGTGATATGATAATGTTTTTCTTCTTTGGCCATGGGGCATACTGTTTTGAAAAGTGCACACAGGGCATGAAGACTGTCGATGGTTGGCTCGTGGATCTCATGAGTCTTAAGGACTACATCCAGAGTCTGAGAAACATCAAGTTTTGTGCCTTTTTTGCCTGCTGCCAAGATCAACAAAGCGACCCCGATCACGTGTGTACGTTGTTTCCACTGTCATTGCGGAATCCGAGGATCTTCAATTGTCGCACACTGTTTCACTTTGCTTGCAGACCTGGGCAAGTCATGTCCGACGCACCGATCGCCAGGCGGAAGTGTGTGACCGAGTACACATCCTGCTTGATTAAAATCCTTTGCAACGGCAGGTGCGTGAGCGACATTCCAACATATCTCCAGGAAAAAGTCAGCAAAAAAACCCGCATGCATCAGCAGCCTGAATGCATAAGCTCCTTCGTGGATTGTGAAATCTGGGACGACGGGACACAGATTGCTTCCATGAGTTCATTCTCGGCATGTGGGTCTGAGGAGTCTTCCAGGGGCACTGTGTCGCCGACAGCTGCTACGCGCGACACCTCAGCATTGGAAGCATTTGGCAGCAGTACTGCCTTCACGGAGGTCGAGGGTTTGGCGGAGTTGCTTGAGAAGCTCGAGAGACTGCCTAGAGCCAAGCTGCGTTTCTTGGAGCTCTTGAGCGTACATGTCGGGTTTCGAACGAGTGATTGAAGTTCTCCACGGACTCTCGCAGCCAGTGGCCACGAGAGGGAGTTCTGCAGCTTATCCCTTCGAGGAGATCGATGTCGAACTGGCGCAAGCGTTGGAGAAGCTTCGTGATGACATTGAGAGTGTCGGGGTCGACCGTGGCATTGACCTCTTCATCGAGGAGTGGAGCTGACGCAGGCCCAGGTGGTTGGGCGTTCGCGGCCGCGGCACCTTGCTGCCGGCAACATCCTTTCCCGAATATCTGATTGAAAATTCAGAAGCGCAGAAGGCACTGCTGGTACCTGCGCTGATCATGCTCGACATCGTCGCAGGAGGGAAAGATTGCCGTTGAATGGCAGCATGAAGAGCAAGTTGCCCTCTTGACAGTCGGGCATGGTAGGGTTTCGGGTGAGCAGTGACCACCTCTCAAACCCTAAGGCTCTAAAGCCTAAACGCCTTGGGCCTTCCCCTCCGCTCTTGCCCAGGCTCGCTGGTCGCCTTCGACCTGTCAGTGGGCGTGGCACCTAGCGACGAGCAAGGCATGCCTTTCCCGGCCCCAACAGTACAATGATCTAGTGGGCGGAAGAAGTAGTGAGAGTTTCAGTACACCCTTACAGTTCCTACGTAAGTAATTACATGACATAAAATATGCGAACGCACCCCAAAACCCCAGTTTAACTATGGCCTGGTACGTCAACCCACCGGTCTGACCTTTACACCTGGTTGCCTGTGAAAAGCAATCATATAGGGGCCTTAGTTGTGCTTAGTAGCAGAAATATCTTTGTTATAGAAGAAAAGAACAATCCTAGAACAAAAATAGTGGTTCTGCTTGGCGTAGGCCCGGAAAACAAGAACTTAACGTGGACTTTGTCGATGTCAGCCGTTGATCATGGTCAAGGCTTTCCTTCGTCGAAGGTGGCAACCAGTACAACCCAGGAAGAACAGGGCTTAGGATGCCCTAAACCCTAAACCCTAACCCGTGGTCTCGGCTTTGGGCTTCAGCTTGTTGGGAGATCCTCAAATCCAACCTGAACCCTCTCTGCCCGAACCCCCGCATCCCGCATACCTGACCTCAACATGAGAATGCTTACAGTTTAGGGTTTCGAATTTTTTTCTCAAATTCCACAACCGTGGAGTGCCTTCGTGGTTTCGCCAAAGCCCGGAAGAGAATTCGCAGGCCCTAACCCCAACCCGCAAAGCCATCTCAGAGTGTTCAGTGCCACCGAAAACCCTAAACATAGACTTCTTGTCCTCAGCATTGAAAGCCCCGCCAGGTGAACAGGAGCTCAAGAAGCCCTCAAGGCCTAAACCCGTGACCTTTATCTTAAACAAAGACAACAGAACTAATAACAACAGTAATAGTAGCAAAAACGATAGCAACAGCAACAGCAACAGCAAC